TTAAGCCTATTGCTTATAGTAGAGCATATTAAAAAGCTACTTGGATGCTCGCTGAGGTCAAATAATTTAATTATCAATGTTTATTTTCTAAAAAAAAGAAAATATCAATGTTCATGTCATGCGCGACAATAATGGGATAAGAATGAGGTATGGGTATAAATCTGGTAGATAAGTAATTAAAGAGTGGAAACAAGTAGCAAAAAATATTGAAAATACTTTTTTTGTTACTTTTTTTAAGAACAATCAAAGATTAAATAATGATCTAATATAAATTAACCTAATAACTTAAACCACAATGATACAGTGAGTTAAAAAATAGAATACACCTACCAATTTAGAAGCACAAAGAATACCGACTTTACTGAAAAAATGTATTAATAGATAGAAAATAAGTTATGGAGTTCAAATATGCCAATAAGGACCTCAAAAATGGGAAGGGAGTGTTCCTAGGGAAGCATTAGGATCATGTTAACTCATCAGAGAGAGTTTTCAAGACAAAAAGCCCACACGCGATGATAGGAGTGTAGGAATTACGTGTCCACTTCTTTTGAGCTTTTGATGGGGAGTCGTTGGAGGCCGCCTTGGTTCTGGATGTGGTGTTAGTGTTACTCGTATGATTAGGGAGGAGATATGACCAACCAATGGTAGTTCTAGAGTGGTCTCGACAAATGATACGTAATATCTTTGCAAAGTCATCGATGGGGATTCGGTGGGGTTGTTGGTCAGACTTTGTTGAGGTTGATGGCAGAGATAGTGTCTACCACTATTTGGTAACATTAAGCTTATGAAGAAGATCCACATCCAAGAGCAAATTGAAATCATGGAGCATACAGGTTTTGCGTTTATTGGAGCTAGGAAAAATAATAATTTTGAGGAGACTTTTATTCTAAGTATGTTGGCTTCGGATGATGCCTTTATGAGTATCATTATTGAGAGTTTCGTTCCTAAAAAATAAATTTGATGAGATTCTTGTGAAAAAAGGAGATTGGTTGGAGGCAGATAACAATGATGAAATGACTTAAGGAAGGAGATGACAGTACGTGGATAATTGGACGAGAATGAAATGCATCAAGGAAATAGATCTTGAAGATGGTAGATCAGTGAGAGACTTGAAGGTGATTGATGGTGTTATTACGAATTAGTGGAAGAATTTGTTTGAAAAAAATATTATTCACAAAAGTTTGTGTTGATTTTTGGAGAAAAATAATGATTTTATTTATCACCCTTTAGCTTGTTACACTTGGGATATTTGTAAATTCTTAACATATTAATAAAAAAATTACTATTTTATTAGATTTCTAATTATATGAGATTATTATTTTAATAGAATTCTAAATACATTAATATAACAAATTAAATAATAAACTAATAAAGTAATTAAATAATAAAATATGATAGTCAATACCTCCTTCAAGTTAGTTCAGGGATATCACACATGACCAACTTACAAATCAAATTCTGAATAGTTATCTTGGTGTCTACTAGAAGCGTACGTGCATGGAGGAACAGGAAAAACCTCAAGTTGGAACATACCTTTTAATTAGTACCAAAGGATACCAAAAAAGTGTT